AAATAATTAATTGTTTGAGGCAATGAGAGGAATCAGAAGCGGTACAAAAAAATGCTAGCTGTAAGGTAAGCCTGTATGAAAATCTGCGAGTTTGTTGCTCCATGTATTTTTTAACGACTTCAATAAAAGGAGGTTCTCAGTTTGACCTGTATGTATTTGTGTGCGATATCTCGAGTTTGGCTGAACCGATTTTTATGCGGTTTTCGGCAAAGTATCTGTCAGACTTAGGAGAAGGTTTTAGGTATATTAACCGACAAATATGAGGGTTCGTATTAAACACGGTTTTGACGCGGTTTTCAGAAAAATATTTTTAATGTTACTGTTGTATAAAAAAATATCAATATCACTAAAAAGCGTGAAATTAAAACTTTAAAAAATATAGAACCACTTCTGTAGGTTATCGGGCGGAGGTTTTCTGTAGGTTATTAATAAGTATTATTTTTCACTTTTTTTAAGTTTGGAGTCGGTTATATTTTTAATCTTTATTACGCTTTTTAAACATCGACACTAGTTTATTTATGGATAAAGCTTTAGGGAAATAATCTTTATCCAGCGCGGGTATTTTTACATTGGTATCACGTTTCGCGATAGAAAACATATGCACTACCTATATTTACTTCATTCCAATGTTCAATTCTTTAGTCTACTTCTCATTTTTTCTACTTCAGGATAAGCAAAGTTAAAAGCGTTTCTTTACAAAACTCTTTCGAAAGTTAGACGTGCATCGTTATACATCGCTCGTTAGTTTGAAACATTGTAACAAATGCGTTCAACGTTTACGGCTTTAAACTTGTAATCGCGTTTAGAGTCGAAGTAAAACCGCTTCCGTATAAGTTCTAAGATAGAAACATCTGCATTGCATTATAAATCAACACTTAAAGTGGAATAACAAAGTACGGAAATGGCATTTAATGGCTATTTTAAAAGTAAGTTTTGAAATATATGACACAATGTCCCACTATGTTACCCGATATCTTGATACCTAGTGGATCGTACATCTTTAAATGGGTTTATCTTAAGTTAAAAGCTTTTTCGAAGCACACTGGCCTTCAAACTCTTTCCGTCTTACTATAAAACGAGAACTAATTTTAGCACGAGGCTATCTGCCCATTGTACCCACGTCCATCAAAATTTGACATTAGTTTAAAACAACATTACCGATACAAATTATTATATTAATAAAGTCTTCATTAAAACTTAATGGACGTTTGTGAAACCGGGCGTTTAACCATTATCCAACCAAAATAAGACAACACGTGTTAATTTGACGTTTTCTCTTCTGTCATTGTGAATTTTCTTTAGACGGAAAATGATTTAAACCAGATCTTTCATTCATTTCATTTTCATTTTTTAAATGTAGTTATTAATGTATTCACTTGACATTGGCAGAATTGTGCGAAATGCACAGATAAGCCATTAATAAAGAAGAAGAAGATTTAAACCAATTGACCTTCACTTTTAATTATCAAATCTAAGCCATTACTTAAATTTAAAAAAGTAATAGAATATAAAAATTGGTATAATATATATTGGTATTATTTGTTATAGTATTGGTTTATATTCTAGGATGTTAATTCTCTATATAGGTACCTATGTCAGTTTCCGCTAAGTTAAAACATAATTTTAATATAATTCATTCAGTTGCAAAACACAACTGTGTACTGTATTGTGTTTTGCAACTCAATAAATTATATTAAAATTATAATAATGTAATTAATTGAGTTGCAAAATACAACACTGTTTGATTTAATGCAGCATCACTTTTGTTTTCTGTGACCTTATTTTTTTTCTATTATGTCGAAAGCGAATATAACACATTCTTAATATTATCTGGAGTATTTAGCACCATATTAGTCGAGTAAGCACTTTCAATAAGTCTCGCAGACATCGATTCACTCGAAATTTACAGATAAATTCATTGCCTTTATTTGTGTTCTTGTCTCTATTGTATTAGTTAAGAAACTCATATTTTACCTATTGCTATATATCCAAGTTCTGTAAAATAAAGCATGTCCTTAAAACATATCCATTTCTACATAGAAATTCGTTTAGAAAACTATCAATGCTATTTTTATTTTTTATTATCTTCGTAAATCTATCACAGTGACGTCATGAATATGGCAGACAGCGTTTTGCGGGTATAGAAAAAGGTTTTGATTTAATTTTAAGACAAGAAAATGTGTTTATTTTTCCGAAATATTTGTTTTATGTCTTTTTTTAAATCAAAATAAACAGTTAAAAGTATCATTTCAAACGGAGTAGAATATTCTATTGAGCAGTTATAAATTGTTCTCATGTATATTCATTATCTTACGTTCATTTAACCATTAATGATTTCATTGCGTTCATTCGCCATATTGGTTATTCATCAATAAATAGAGGTTTAGATACCTGAATTAACTTCAATCAGAAACGCTTGCCCAAATTAATCCAATCCCGTTATAAGCGAAATGTATACGTTGCGTTACTTAATGTTAATATCAGTGATTCATTTATACTGTACGGTAAATAACATGGAAGATAAAAAGTGAAATTTCCTTCTAAAACCCTTCTAATTTAAATGATATTATGACATTGAATGTATATGTATACATTGGCTGGTGATGTCACCAGCCCTTTCACGTCCCCACTGCAGGGGCTCAGGCCTCCCTTATGGATGGTTAAGGAGGATGAGCCATGACCCTCCACGCTGGCCCAATGCGGATTGGAAGGTATTGACGACTGCAAATGCAGCCGGGACCAACGGCTTAACGTGCCTTCCGAAGCACGGAGTAGCTCGAGATAATAATTTTTTGGTCATCCATCCCGTGACCGACCCTTGCGAAAGTTGCTTAACAACTACGATAGCGGGCCGCGGCGCTTATCCACTACGCCACCGAGTTACTCGTAATGTATACATTCGTAATAAATACAATTATTAATGATATAGATAAACTAACTCTCCGTCGTTACTATAATATAAATACACAAATTTCTAAGTTAATCAATAATAGATGTCTCTGTATCAACAAGTACACATATTAGATTAAATGATTTGTCCGATTTACTTAGTTAGGGTTAATCCATCCATCACCAAAATAATTTTCGTGTTATACTTACATAACAAAATCTTAGAACTGGACTCGGTAAAGCGGCAATTAGAACTCAGTGCAGACATTTGAACACATCGTGAACTTGAATGATATGAACGCCACCTAAGGAGTCCCACTGTTTTTGAAAGGCACTTGAAGTGCCAGAAAAGAGTAAAATTCTTATCAAAGCCTCTCTCTAATCTCCCTTATCGCAACGAAAAGTATTCTAGTTAATTTCCCTACTTTGGCTATCAAAAATTCTGCCGTCGGTAAGTAGGTTGCATATATTTTCATTGCCTTCAACGGAAAATAGTTTTATTATTATTTATTTAACAGGAAGCCCTTGAAGTGCTCCGGACAGCATCGCCGAGGGTGGAGCTGCGTGTGTGCCGGCCTCCCGCAGAAGTGCTTGAAAGCGTCACACCACCAGACCCGCCGACACCCCCCGCCCGCACACCGCACCCCCCGCACTTACCGCCGCTCGACCCGCTCAACTGTCATCCTATGCATGCCAGGTCAGGACATGAAACTAGAAAGCACCTTAAAATTATACAACAACAAATAAATAAAATTGGAGTGTTTATTTGTAATGTAAAGTGTAAAGTAACCGCTTTTCACTAAATACATACATATACTATACATACACACGGTATGAACGTGCGAACGATTTTTTATATCTTTTGTGCGAACGTTTTTTTATATTTTTTTTCGGTCTGTCTGTCGGTTTGTTCCGCTTAATCTCTAAAATGGCTGGACCTATATAGACGCGACTCCCACTTGCTGATAGCTTATTTGATAAGGTACTTATTCTACTTTCCGTACCGAGCTAATCATAAATAAAGTAAAAAACAAATTTTATAAAATATATAGGTATAGGTTTTGTAAAATTTTACTAGACTACTTAGTTCATCCACTTTCTTATTAAATAATGCCTATAATCTGTGGCATTGATCAAAATTTTGGTAACGTTACCATGTTATCTTTATCTATATATATAAAAATGAATCGCAAAATGTGTTGGTAAGCGCATAACTCAACAACGCCTCGACCAATTTGGCCAAATCTTTTTTTAAAATGTTCGTTGAAGTTCAAGGATGGTTTTTACGGCGAGAAAAATTAGAATTATTGCTGGAAAAACCCTAAAAATAGCCCTTTTCTTTTTCCCATACAAATGATTTGTAACTAAAACGTAGTCAATTTGAGCTTTATTGCTATGGTATAAAGTTCATATTAAATTACAAGCACTCACTGTTGTCTAAGCAATGTAGGTGTGTTCCTAACGTCAAAGATCATATCTATCAAAACAAATAGCTCATTGGTTAGAGCAGTCCCTGGATCGCGAATGGGTTCGAGTCCCATTCCGGGGTACAGGTAGATGGATTCTTCCAGCATTTTTCCTTGAGAATGTTTATATATTTTTTTAATTCGAATAGTTTACTTTTATAATGCTGTTGTGTGTAATGTGTTTTTATGATCATAAAAATCTCTTTTTTCTATATTTAATACTATTACTATTAATACATTGCAATAATAATTATGATTCACATGATTAACAATAAAGCGATTACTTACTTTTAAATCCTTATATATGTTTTATTTAATTATTTTTTATTCACAACGCCCTATCACCAGGGTGACGGTTCTGTTCAGGAGAATTTTTTTAAATACGTAGGCAAAAAAACTGCCACATTACAAATCTTTTTGACAGGACGAAGTCTGTCGGGTCAGCTAGTAATTTATAAATAAGCGCAAAGTATCACATTATCTAACTTTAATAGCTTTTTAAAACTTTCTGTTATGAAAATCTGTACGTATCGTAATTTTTATTAGGAGTTAAAATGTAACATTTTTATGTCACTTAGTAATACCGTTATTATTCATTCATAAAGTGAATAATACAACGCATAATTATATTATCGAATTTCTTTTAGATTATCTCAAACAACGAGTAGTGCAACTACTTCGTCATCAGAAGGCCGAGGACGGAGAGAAGCCAGCCCTGAGGTCGACAGACAAGACTTACACTTACCCAACCTGGACGGACATCTACCAGTCTATGATGTGCAATATGGGGTAACTAACATGCATATCATCAGCCTTTTGATGTCCCAAGCACAGGCCTTGTCTATGGTAGGAATCTAATAGGAAGAACGCACAGAACATAGAGAGAGAATAGAAGTAGTAAGTGGGCGGGGCACGCGTCGCTGGCATATGCGCTTTTACTCATATGACGCCCTTTCCTCGGTTTTATGTTTGCCAGTCGTTCGTCAATCGTCGAGTGGTGATTTTACAGATTTTTTTTATAAAAAATGCCGTTTTGTGCTATTATCACTTGCAAAAAGCAAAGCAAAGTATACAATCTAACTAATGCAAACATTTCCTTTCACTGGTAAGTACAATTTTAGTGCTAAAATATAAAAAACGTAATAATTTGACACAATGTTAAATAAAATATACATTGATTGCTCAAACCAACATCAATGTTTCTGACCCCATTACTAAACAGCAATGTAAATCATTTTGTGCACTTTTGCAAAAAATAGTGCTGTGCCTCCATTTGTCTGAAATGTACCGATAGGCTGCTGCTGCTCGGAATCGTATTGTTATTTATATGGATCGTAATCGATAACTAAAACATATTTATTTAGAGCTTTTCTTTCATCATTTCATAACAACGTTATCGATAAATATATGCCATAATTATATAAAACTAAAAAATACTGTTTACAAGGGAAAATTATAGAGGAACTGATACTGAACAAATGAAATAATGAACTGTCCAGGCACTTTTAATACGAAGATTCGGTTAATTATTTACACGCAGATAAATATTAAAAATTACTGATGTGCTATAAATATCTAAGTTACGAAGTATATCACCGTTTTATGAACAAATTAAACGAAACTTCGTGAAAAGCTAAGAGTTGGCCTAATAGGTCTTGTTAGAAACTGGTGAAACTGGATTTCACTTATTTTGCATTACTTATATTTCAGTTTCCCTAATAACTTTACAACGGATTGCCTTGTTTACATAATTAATTTTGCCCTATCTGTTTTAGACCTAAACCTATCAAAAGAATTTCAAAACAACATAATATCTATACAAACAAAAAATTATGTTTTCAACTAACGTAATATTGTTGGTAGTGTGAATTTAATTTACAAAATTAATTTTTAGGCGTCAATTTAATTTACCTTATTCTGCTGATTCATAATCGGAAACTATTATTATAGAAATCGAGTTAAGAAAGTCACTTTAAAGAACCGCCCACAGAACAGCTTTTATCAGTTTTTTTGTTGCTCCATATTTGCACATAAGTTTATAGACGCATGTCTCAAACGGATGTGACTTTATATGTAGATTGACGTTTGTACGTACTTATCGCTTTTGTGTCTATCTTCAAACTTTTTTTGTCACGGCTTTCAAACTCATACTTGACCAGCGATTCCTTATTGTCCAGTCGTTGCAATTAATAATGTAGCTACAACTATTATTACAGATATAAAACTTAGAATAATAAAGTAAAACAAACATGGCTATGATCAATTTATTAGTGTAATGATCATATTAGTTATTATGAAATGAAATGAAAATATCTTTATTCAAGAAGGCTATTACAAGCACTTGGAATGGCAAGTTTATTTTTATTTCTACTTTTTTTTGTGAAGGAATCGTAATGTTTTCTTGCGTACATAATATTTTCATTGATGTATTGAGAGGCAACAGTCAAAATATTTATTTCTTTAAATATTTCTCTGAGAGATTCTCTAGACCGTAAATTATATATAGCGTGGACAGCTCTCTTTTGTAGAATAAAAATATCTTGAATGCTAGCCGCAGAACCCCATAACAATAGATTATACGTCCTTCATTACACTATGAAAATAACTAAAATATACCAATCTTGCCGTTTCAACATTTGTTAAGAGTCTAATTTTCTTAACAGCAAATGCTGCAGAACTCAGTCTACTTGACAAATTGTCAATATACCAAAATACCAAGGAACTCTGTCGATTCCACCATTTCAACTTTTTCACTATTTACATTTATAAGTATATTAACATGCCTCACATTAGGTAATGCAAACTTTATGTATTTCGTTTTATTTGAATAAAGCTTTAAATAATTACTATCAAACCACTGTAGAAAATTGTCGAACTGAATTACATTGAACTGTTTCATAACAAAATTTAAACCTCTTATTTTATCAACTAATATGTCACATCACTAATATGCACAATCGGAATGATACCAGTAAGAAAAAAATACAAATTAGGCTTAATGTAATTAATACAAAAATTCTGTTGTTTTCTTAATTTTTGTTTTTTTTTACTCTTTCCCTCGCTTAATTATATTACTCCACAGACATACGATAGAGTGTATCATTAAGTTTTCTTAGTTTTTGTACTGCGTTTTTTAAAAGATATTTTAATAAATTATGTAGGGAAAAGCCTTAATTTTTCAGTATTCACTTGGTTACAACAAAATCTAATATTAATAGTTCGCACATAAAATGATGACCCCAATTTTTTTAAATGTGCATAATCTTAAAATATTTTTTTCCTTCTGGTATCCCCATATACAGCCACGTGACAGTTCAACATTCATGTTAAAGTAAATTATTTATTATCACGTTGAATTAGAGTTTGTTTTTAATCGTGTGATTTCTTAGCTTAGTATCTTTTTGGGATTTGATTTATGTTATCGCGAACCTATCGCGTGGCGGTTTTTCATGTAGTGAACAAAATGATCATTTCATCTAATCTGCATTTGTGTGCGGAGAGGCGACACTCGGTTCCCATACTAAATTAATATCATTATACTTCTAATCTCTCTCTATGTTCTGTGGAAGAACGGGTGACTTACAACTGCAGATTCATCCGGGACCAATGGCTTTACGCGCCTTCCAAAGCATTGAGCAGATCGAGGTAATAAATATTTGGCCATCCATTCAAATGACAGTACTTTGCGAAAGTTTCTTATTCTTCGCATCGCAAACAGAACGTGCTAATCAATCCGCCATCAAGTTCTTAAACCCGCAACATGTTCTGCAGCATTTTACGTGACGCGAGACATGTTGCTTGCCACACTACGCCTCGCGTCTATGTCGCGTCATATTTTGCTAAGGAGAGTACGCTACGTGTCTCTCAAGATTTCAATTTTTGTATCTAGGTTTCACCGACTACATTTTCTCTCACTTACACTTGATTCCGGAAATAAATATGCACTAACAGCCACAATCTCTTTGGGTGACATTTCTATAAACACTGAGTAGTGTGATATGTAAGATCTCCCGCGACATTGCTCTCGGGTCATTGCATGTAGTTGTTAAAGGACATGTTGGCAACATGTCGCTGCATTTGTCTCCTAGTGTATCTCTGGCTTTATTTAAAATAGTCGTTCCTTAAATGCACGCTCGTTTAAATCAAATAATTAAGTAACTATTTTCATACATTTATCACTGTTTTATGCTCTGGGTATACAAATTACTTATTTAAATAAAATACCGGTTGCATTTTCTTGATGGGCTACAGTTTTCCTAGTTCAATTAATAAAGATTATTGTTCACGCTGCGCAGGATGATGGATCTGTGGTAAGTAATTATCTCCGTCGCTTTGTGAAAAAAAATGTGCCTCGTCTACATTGCTGGAACAATAAAGCAACATTTTTATTAGACTTATTTAAGACAGTGAAAAGTTATAGTTATGAGAAGGAACATAAATCTACATTACCTACACTAATGGGAAAGATTTGATTATATACCCGACTGCAAAGGAAGGGTTATGTTTTACGCGCGTAGCGTGTAATGTTATGTATGTATGTAATATTCTTTACTAACTCATATCTTCAGAACCGCTGAACGGATTTATATAATTGAGGTATCGTTAGATTTGTCTTAGAAGCCCAAGTCTTCTAAAAAATATATGAAAAAATCAAAGATGGCGGCTGTACGATGCCATTATATTTAATATTTTTTTCTAATACTACGATATGGATATCAAATTAAAAAGCTCAATTCAAGGATTCCAAAAAGTTATATGATAATTATCATTACCAATAAAAATAATACAACGATAAAGTTTATAAACATGTACTTTGTTCTTCCATTTTCTGAACCAAAGTGGTAATTTGTCTAATTAAAAAAATATATAATTAAAAGAAAAAACAAAAAGCCCGCCTGTGTGAAAAATAACCAACTGAAAAGCTAGAACAAAATCAAATATTTATGCAACATCACACATAACATACAGTCGAAGGCATGCACAAAGAGAGAATGATTTGACTTATTAATCAGTTTCACGCCTCCCGACTGCATAAGTATGAATGATGGATGTTGTATAAATTTGGTACCTTGTTCCAGCCTTTTCAGATAGTTTTTTTTTTTACTTGTTATTTTAAATCTTTTTTTAATCGATAAATTCTATAACTGTATGACCCATTTTTTTAAATTAATATAAAGATAATATTGAGTCCCTACTATAATTAATAAAATGTATTTATATAAAAAAAATTGTAATTCATATGAGTTGTGTATTTTTATTTTGAATGTTGGATAAAGGTTATTAAATAATATAATACAATCTTTTTCGACAGGAATTCGACATAGTTATGACGAAAGTGAACGGTTCCCTGGGCTTCACACTTCGAAAGGAAGATCACAGCGCACTAGGACATTACGTGAGGGCACTCGTTCGGGAACCGGCACTTAGCGACGGCAGAATACAACCTGGAGATAGAATAGTTGCAGTAAGAACTCTTTGCGATCATATTGTCCTGGTACTTAAGTGATAAAGATTTTTTATTAGAAAGCTGACGGCCGGTTTCTGGATTAAGAAAAGTATAAAATCTCAACTGAATAATCTCAATAAGTTAAGTTTTTTTATGTTTCACGTGGCACAAAGTGCTAGTGTTATTAAACTACTATCAACTGAGTGTTTTAAATTAAAATGAGAAACGAAAACCTGTTTAAAGGATGTTTAGGATGTTTTAAAAGCGGTTTGAGACGTGCTTAACTTGAAATTTTCAATTCAGAAACCCGGTGTGAACCAAACATTTTTGAATGACTATTTCCTTCATGCGTCACTAGGTTTCTGGGTGGATTTAAAACGGTAGAAATTAGCTCCGTAATAAATTCGTTCATACATCTTTTAACACGTATTTTCGCGTAGCTTAGCAATATTTTATCGTTACCAGGAACCCCTCTCATTTTATACGCTTAGCCATGTATGCTTCCTAATTTATCTAGACGAATAAGTTAATCATTATGACATAGACTAATATTTTTTTACTACGTCAAGTATTTATCGAAGATTTAATATTTAAATTGATATTTTCTTTTAACTTTGAAAGAGTCTTATATGTGGCAAAGTTATTCAAAGCCAAACAAAGTCACAAGTCTCAAAGTAACGGATATGCCATATTCAAATTATCCGTGACAATAATCTTACTTTAGCTATGGTTATTGTGTTATACGACATTTTTATTGTTATTGAACCATTTTTTATTTGTGGAACTATCAAAACATATCACCTTTTATGTTAATAGCTGTCCAAACAAACCGTGGCCTTTATGAATCATCATCAATCACTAACAAAGTTATATTGTAAAAACGTTCAAATATTTAATGATAAATATAGACATTTACAAAAACGAATGAGTCATATACATGCCATCAAACCACGTATTATTATAAAACTGATCATAAAATTGTTATTATTTTCAAATCTCATTTTATAAAGCTACTTGAGGAAGCAGATAAGTACATAAAGAAAAGAAATATTATTTGATAACAAAGAAATATAATTTTTGTTATAGATTGAATATCTATACTTAATAATACTTTAAAGTTGAAGAGTTTGTTTGCTTGGTTGAATGCGCTAATCTCAAGAACTACTGGTTCAAACTGAAAAAATATTTTTAACATTGAATAGTCCATTTATTGAGGAATGCTATTGGCTATAAAATATCATACTATGACTAATAGGAGTGGAGCAGCCCCCTTAACTATTTTTACCATTTAAGTTTATCTTTGATTTTGTTTAAGAAAGATTGAATGGAATGGGCAAATAAAAATATTTGCATATCTATAGGTAAACGACACGCCAATGTCGAACATGTCACACGCTGAAGCGGTCGCGTTTTTGCGAGCGTGTGGATCGGAGGTGCGGCTCCGACTTTATCGTGATCACGCTGCGACGCCGCTGTCCCCCATGTCACCGAAGGAAGAAGCCCCTACGGACTCCGATGCACCTTTGAACAGACCCAAACCTCCATTAAGGTACGTCAAACATAATCATCTTCGCTAAAATGCAAGCTCAAATTACCATAATATATTGATCTGATAATAGCATGTTTTTTTTAAATGTCGTTACTTGTATTCCAGCTGATGAGTCTGTTGCTCGTTCTCCTTATCAACTAAAAGACGTACTGAACGATCGGTAGGGAGAAAAAAACGTTAGACGATTAAAAGTACATACTTGAAATAAGTGCATTTGAAAGGGCGGTCTAGCAGATATATAGCGATTATTTTCAATCAGGGGGCTTATTAATAATAATAAAACACTTTATTGCACTCAATATAACACAGGTTACAGGAAAATTACATTAAGAAGAAACTGAACACAAATGGCAGGCTTATTGCTGTACAACAATTTCTTCCAGGCAACCAATGGAGAGAAAAAGAAGTTTTATTGGATAGTATGGGAGTAGTAGATGCAATATTAAGGAAGGATAAATAAATAACGGATACAACTTTAGACAAACATATAGTTACTAAGATGATAAAAAGACAGATTTAAATTAATGTTCTACAACAGTTTAAAATATATATAATAAGTAAAAATGTTTTAGGATATAGACAGGAAATGATTCTTAACTTGATCGCAAAACGTATCGAGTGAACGAGTTTTCCTAATACATTCCGGGAGTGAGTTCCAAAACCGCACAGCATGCACAGAGAACGAGTAGGAAACAAAGTCTGTAGAGTGGCGAGGAATCTCAAGAGTGAGATTGGTAGAGGAAAGCAATGAACATTGTGTAGAGAAAGAGCGGAAGGAGAAGCATTTTTTTAAGATAAGGCGGAGAGAATGGAAGAAAAAATATAGAATAAAGAACCGTAAGAGTGTGCAAGTCCCTGCGCCGGCGAATAGGGAGCCATTGTAACTTGGATCGGAACTGTGACACATGGTCATATTTCTTTAGATTAAAAATGAATCTAATGCAGACATTCTGCAGACGCTCAAGTTTGTGAAGAAGCTCCTCCGACAGATCCGTATAACATCAGCGTAATCAATGTTAAAATCTGTCTCAATAATGCTGAAAGACGGGTATTAACTCAGTTCAGCAGCAGATGCAAATTCATTAGGTACAGTATATGATAAGCTTAAAAAAAAATCCTTTTCGATTTGACATTGGACAGAACGTCACAAATTTCACGCTACAACTTTTTCCATGTGATAGCGATTGTAACCGCGACGTTTTTTTGGAAAATATTGAATGAACGATATCGTAAATTTGATATCGGAATTGTCTAAGGCAAGTGTTAGACGCAAATATCTTTGAAATTTGAAAGTTGTGTGCTAACTGCAATCTTTCAATTGGTTTAGGTGGTTTTTGCTCAAAATATTTAACATAGCATAGTTTACAATCATTTGATTGTAAACTAGGAAACTTACAATCATTTGATTGTAAACTAGGTTGTATAATATTATGAGGTCAGTAGTGGGGTGGCATAATTGTAATAGCCTTCTGGAGGCATATGTCTAAATACATCACTAGCTTTAAGCATCATTAAGCGAACGATAAATAAATACGACAAAGTAAATTCATAAGCAATTGCTTCATTAATTCACTGAAACGCGTAATCTCTCAAATCGCATAAAAAGATATCGCTGTACGGTGAAGTTATATAGATGGTATGCCTTTACCCTCATTACGAGATGAAATTAATTAATATTTTCTCCAACTTTCTATCCAGGATTGAGAATATTTAATTAATATGCAGCGAAATTGCCTTGTGTATATAAGAAATCTCTTTTTAGTCTCTTATTTAAAGAAAATTGGTATATTATTGTCGAGCAAATGGTCTGTTTTTAAGAGGCTGTGAAGAAGCAGATTTAGATAACGCGTAATACGAAGATTTCCAAACCTGTCTAAAGGATAGGTAAAGGTACTCATGGTCTGATGAATTCCACCTGACGACGTCCAGCTACTTGCACTTGTAATAAAAAAAAATGATTATGAGAGAATAAGCTACGAGTAGAAAGGAAAGACGATACAACCTTGATAACGATAGCACTTGCGCGTCTACATATTATTTCCTGTAACTTCGGTGATTTGATGCATCAATATATGTATATTCGCATCTTAAGAAAGTGTTTAAATATATACTTAGGAAATCTCTAAATCTAGAACACATTTATTATGTATAAGGGGCAACGCCGGCTCAATGAAAATGGACGCTCTAGGTGAGACACTGGAACTGTACGCCCTTGGCAAAACACGAGAACGACGCCTATAAGAAAGAAATCACAACAAAATGAAATACTAATGTAATGTAGGTTAAATATTTTGAGCATAAACAAGAAATGTCCTGTGTGTTGCTGAAATGCTGAAGAGTCATTAGCTCAGGCTCGATACGATGTTTTCTATAAACAGGAATATTTCTGATATTTTGATATAAGTATATTTTTTTTACATTTTGCTGCTTATACACTAAAAGTAAGTTCAAAAATTATAATCCGACTACAGCTATATCACACTCTAAAAAGTTTGAAACAAGAAATTTATGTATAGCGAAAGCTAAACTACAATAGCGTTGACCAAAGACAGTGTAGTCGTACGTCACTGATTATAACAAAACAAACTGTTGTGTCATATGACTATGCTGCCCTTTGGCACGCAGACAACTAAGACGCTTATAATGATACCTCATTTGTCTAGTTACGATAAGTAGTTTCGAAGGTATAAGGGAACAGATGAACATTCTTACATACATACATACCGGCCAAAATCATAACCCTCCTTTTCATTTCGCCTTAGTCGGGTAAAAAGAGAGGCAAATAAAAAGCAAAACCTTTATTAAAAATTTGTCCAAAAATAACACATACACACCGATCAAAATTTACCTCTAAATTACAAATATATTATGGCAATTAAGAATATATCGGGAGAATTTTGAGAATTTGAGAAAAGCAATTTTGATTTGTGTCCCTTCTGTCTATAACCAGCGATTTGGTTATTTAATACATTGAAAAACTAAACAGTATTCTAACCTATTTATAGTATGTACAAAACATTATAACTCCGCATTGAATTCATGGGAAAACTAGAAAGTAATGTTCCGCAATTTCAGTTCAGTTACGATTGGTTAAAAATAATCACCTTCTTTATATCACCATGTAATTTTCCATAACTAAATTCTGATATGAAGATTATAGCTTACAATCGACCGATTCAATACATAATATAACGCTATGAATGAACACAGAAACATATAGTTCTTAGGAGAACCTGTATCTTTAAGCTTTCTGCTTTGTATTTTATACAACTTACTGTTTTCCTGCGACTTCACTCGATTAAATTATAGCCTTTGTCACATTCGTATGATGCAATTTTTAAAATCGGACCAGAAATAACGGAGCCTATTTGATGCAAACAAACAATAAAGAGTATCGTCTTTATAATTCTAGTATAGATTTGTCACTAAATTGTAAAATGTTTTGTATTTATTCTGCTTTGTATTTTATACAACTTACTGTTTTCCTGCGACTTCACCCGCGTAAGCCTTTGTCACATTCGTATGATGCAATTTTTAAAATCAGACCAGAAATTACGGAGCCTATTTGATGCAAACAAACAATAAAGAGTATCGTCTTTATAATACTAGTATAGATTTGTCACTTAATTGTAAAATATGCGTTTTGGTGTTACTGTTTTGTATTTATAAGAATTGCTATTTGTTATTAAAATACTAGAAAAGAAGTATCTCTTAATTAATTATAATGTTTTAATAGGATTCGGTCCTTCTCTTTGAAGATCTTTGGGGGAGGCATAGGCCTCTAAAAATTACACAAGTGGACATAGGTAATGGACATAGGTCCAGCAGTGGGCGACTCTCGGCTGAATTGATGATGATGATGAATAGGATTCTATTGGGATGCCTTATAAAAAATAAATATAAGCTTCACATAGAATTTGCTGAGTAACGTTCGATGTTATCAAAAATTGATGTCAGATGCTATAAAAACTGGTAAGAGTGTATGTATGAAAAGAGTTATGATACGAACGTCAAGGAAGCCAAAGCCACGCGTAAAAACGGTACCATGTGGTGCTCTGGTGTTTTTGATTACACCATAGATTTATTTACTCGACCTACTCTGTAAACGCCGCGAATTCGACACGATTTGAGGGTCATCGCTGCTAACGTGTTATTTATCTGTAACATTATTCCTTACCTTTCAGCTTCAGCCTTTTTACGTCTCCACTGCAGGGGCTCAGGCCTTCCTTATGAATGGACCTTCCACGCTGGCCCAATGCGGATTGGAGGGTATAAACGACTGCAAATGCAGCCGGGACCGTAATTAGCTGATTGACTTGAGAAGAAAATATCCCAAAATAGTCCAATCCCAAAAAAGTTACACTTACCTAATGGTAACTTTAAATTTAATGCTTAATTTAGTGGTAATTTTGAACCTAGACATTTTTTTTATTGAAACTAAGACGAATGATACTTTCTATAAAAACAATAAACTAATCTGATTGACCAAATTTCCGGGAATTTGGACTGAGAGGAATATCGTTTAATTTCCTCTTATTTCATTATGAAATATTTAATAAAATTGAAACTTAAAATTCTAGGGGAACATAGTCCAGTGTAGCTAGTTGAATGTGTTATAATATCTAGGACGACCTTTTCCCGCTTTTACAGAAACTCATTGTATGTTACGCTCAGTCATCTTTTGGCTATTTATTATCTTGCTTAGCCTGAGTTCACAGTTTCACACAGCGCGGTGTTACACCAAATTTTTTGCAGAATAAAAACTTTATCGATTTCAGTGTCACTAATGAATCATAAAATCGTTCACATGTTATAAATATTTATATTCGTTTTCGCAAATTAAGAATATAAGAGAAATCAGCGTTGATCTCTTTTTTAAAAAGATGCCGACAAATACTGGGTTTATTTCTTTATTCAGTCGTGTAAAACTTGATTGATAGTAACTTTTGCCCGTGACTTCGCCCGCGTGGTCTTGATTTAAGTCCAGAAACTAGAAAATTCCATAAAAACTTTCATCCCAAAGTTACCCTCTTAGGAGTTGAATTTCGTAAAATCCCGTCTTAGTGAGCACCTACATCCTAAAAAGAACTCGCATGCAATATTTGAAACCCCTAGCACTTGGAGTAACGTAGTTTTATACAAACTTTCTTCTTATTTCATCCCATAATTTAGCCCTTTCGGGGTGGAATTAAAAAAACTGTCTTAGTGCTCCTCTATACTCCCACAGGAATTTTAACTCCAAAGGGTTTAGCCGGATACGTATGACGAGTCGGCCCCCAAATGGGAATCGATATTGAAACTTATGTTTTAATATCGACTTGATGTTCAAACACGATTTATGTACTTTTCGCGACCGACTTCCGCTTTGACCTTGAGATAGAGAGCAAAATATCCGTATGCTTGACTATTACTGAATGTGATATATCTCTAAAGCTAATTAAGATAAAGAAGTGAAACTAACGCGAGGTGTTAGGTTACATTACAGAGTATATCACATATATTTTTTTATAATTTTTAGAATAAAAAATTACATTAAAAAAATAAAAAATAAAAAGTCATGTTTTTTTTCTGAGTTCTCTGTGACTTACAATCACGAAATTAATATATGTTATGCCCCTTTGTGTGCTCTATTACCCATAAAAATTGCGTGAAAAAAAAGTTGGTGCAACACAACGAAAAAAAATTATATGTGATTTCTGTCTTATGGTATACCCCCTGTATTATAAGGTTTTCACATTACATCATTGTTTTTTTTTCGAAATTTCACATCAGCTTGTTTTAAAACATAAGTAACTAGTCTTAAGAGATGGGATAATAGTTAAAAAAGAAATGAAAAAAAAAAACAGCCAGTGTTCAATACTTATTATTATTACTTTTTCGTGTCTATCAAAATACAAGAAACAAAATATTAATCATCGCCACTGTTGTAATTAATTACAATCGGAACACTTTGAGTCGCAAATAACTTAGTTAGGACCTCAGCAGGACGTATGATTTTGGACAAATATCATCCATATGATAGATAATAAATAATAGCTGCTACATGAAAACAGCATCCCACTGTACGTTTGCCATTGGGGCAATCACAGCAATAACGAAGAATACTATTGTAGTCATTACCTTCGGAAATATAGTGAATGTAAATTCGATAGACTTTTATATTTATATGTCTTGATTTTTACTTCTGCTTTGATGATATTAGGTGCTGATTTCACATATTGTACTGAGAGATTATTTTGATCGTCCATTATTTCGGCCAAGTTAAATGCTGCACATTTAGTAGTAGAAGCTTTTTTGTTAATATATGGGATAAGTCGACACTTCTTACAAAAAATATCATTAACTATTACGATTTTATTCAAACAGTCACTAAACACTTTAGCTTCTTCTTCATTCTTTATAAATTTTTTTATAACCAGGAATCTTACACAGGTACTTGTTACAATTTTTACACTTTCTCGACATTATTACTTAATAATGATTTGGTTCGATAGTTAATAATTTCAAAATGCTGATACAAAATACCTTTGACAGAATTTGAGTCCCAAACTGCTTTCTTGTGTAATACAAATGACTGCTACTTTAGCTAAACAAACGATGCAGTAAACAGCTCAATAACAAGTTCGAACTTGTTTGTTTATACACTCACACTACAAGGCGCGAATCACATATAATTTTTTTTCGTTGTGTTGCACCAACTTTTTTTTCACGCAATTTTTATGGGTGATAGGGCACACAAAGGAGCATAACATATATTAATTTCGTGATTGTAAGTCACAGAGAACTCAGAAAAAAAAACATGTTTTTTTTATTTTTATTTTTTAATATAATTTTTTATTCTAAAAATTATAAAAAAATATATGTGATATACTCTGTAATGTAACCTAACACCTCGCGTTAGTTTCACTTCTTTATCTTAATTAGCTTCAGAGATATATCACATTCAGTAATAGTCAAGCATACGGATATTTTGCTCTCTATCTCAAGGTCAAAGCGGAAGTCGGTCGCGAAAAGTACATAAATCGTGTTTGAACATCAAGTCGATATTAAAACATAAGTTTCAATATCGATTCCCATTTTGGGGCCGACTCGTCATACGTATCCGGCTAAACCCTTTTATCTTTCAACGGTCAATAGTTTCAACTATACGTTGTGTGGCAGTCACTCAGTAACGCAAGAATTGTATATATGTATATTGCTGTTTTATATTTAATTTTTTATGTAATTAGTTCAAAGGAACTTTTAACAAAATGAATCGTACTTTATCACTCGTTTGGATCCAACAGAAACTAAACAAACATTTGACGCGAATAGAAGCTCTAAAAGAGATGAACTCATCAAACGTTTGAAAACTGCCTCTGTTCGACTTTTCGCGAGTAAAAACATACCTAAGTGCTAATTTCGCTGTTTAAGTCGTCTCTAAGTTGCTGCTTATATAAAAATGAAATTATAAATTACAGTACTTCAATGTATTACTTTATATTAATAGGGAGCATGAGCCATGACCCACCACGCGGGTTCAGTGCGTATTGCTGGGTATTAACGACTACAGAAGCAGCCGGGACCAATGGCGAAACAAAGCACGGAGGAGCTCGAGATAATAAATTTTTGTTCACCCATCCCAGACCGCCAATCGCGAAAGTAACTTAATAAACCGCATCGCAGACCGAGCATACTGCGCCATCGAGCACCCCAACATACTGTATAAGCTCAGATTCGGATTTTTTACTTTTTAAATTTTTACTATATTTCAGGCCTGAAGCGGTATCGATGTTGTGCGATCTGGCCGCGAGACGTCTAACCCCAGACGCGGCGGATGGTTCCCGATCCCCCTGTCTATCCCCCCGCAAGTTCCGCAAACTCACCAAGGATAACAATCACTACGAACAACCGAACGGTACGTACATTTCATTATAATTGGAATATACGTCAAAACTACCAAAACATCCTATTCGTGCTAATAGATAATCCTATTTCCTATTTAACATAAATCTATAGTCACTATAAGTTATCATTTTATACTTTTTTTTATTAATATGTACATTATTATACTAAATGCATAAAAAAATTAAAACACGAAGGAAATTAATTTTTATAAAAAAAAACAATCTAGCCACCCTTTAAAAGGCGTGCGAATAAAAAACACATCGATGCCAGATCTTACCGTTAATTTCTTTAACAATGATAAATCTACTGAAAATATGACATAAATATGTACAAAACACAAATCTAAAGTCGATTTAATATAGTATGTCGACTACTACAACACTCCAAGCTACGAAGATAGACGAAGATTAAAATGTATTAAGATTTTTTTACGCAATGAAGAAACACACAAGCGACCATTTCAATCCTTTACGTAATTGTAATATCAATATCTACATTACCTACAACTAACAACATAACATCAAAGATACTAATTCAAACTTTAATTAAGTCGATAGTTACCTATAGTTTCATCGTCATTATTATTCTATCACGTTAACGAGGACATAAACCGTAATATTACACTGATCGATCACTAATACGTACACTAATTACTAATCCAAGCATACTGAACACGATGTCTCGATTACCGCTAATATCGTTCCCTCAACCATTACGTATAGTAATCAACTGGGATTTAAGTTTACGCACTTACTGCTTGAACACACTCAGAGAACTATTCCGAACAGATGTTCCGAGTGCCAACATAACGCTAGAGCACACGAAAATGACGGAATCTTCCGAATGCACCACTGAGCGCCGCCCGCAGCGAACGCACACAGTGACACTAGCCAGCCCTACTGCCCCACCCAGTAGGAAACAAAAGCTAAGCCTGACAGGTGAGAACCGCTGTCGGCACATCGTCCATCGCTTCACACCCGCGAACGGACCCCGATACATAACTCGGACAGCACACAGTAGTCATTAGATACCATAATTTCGGTCATCGCCTACGGGACAGCGTTGCGACTCTTTCTTCCTCGTTCCTCTATTGCACTATCGTTCATCCATGATCAGTATTCAGACTGTTCTGCACATAAATATTATAGGCAAATATGCATGAGCTCGTAAATGTCATGTTAATTCTTCACCTTGCCTCCGTGGTCTCTTTCATTATTTACCACTCGATATTTATATGCAGAATGGGTTTTAATTGCAAATGAAGCTTATTCAAATGTCTTTTACATTAACGTTTCAGTACCCCCGCATGGATATGAATTAAACAATCTCGATAATGACGCCTTGGATGCGCCTAATATCTACCAGGAAGACATAAGTCGACAGAGATATACTGAACCGGCATTTCCAATTGACTCTGATGAGCCAGTATCTATGCCCGCTGAGCTGTCGAGTGATGAGGCTCGGTTTAAGCATACGAATCCTGCGTACCAAAGTGCTGTGCTACATACAAGTAGCGACGGCGATGGCAGCAAAGAAGATAGTAGTAAGTGATCAATTTCCCAACAAACTAATCATCATTCATCAGCCTTAGAAATCGCACTACCTGAAATTTGTTGTTTTTTTTACGAACTCACGTTTGAACCAGTTTGATTAATTTAATCCACTCATTCACATTCTATCTCATAGACAATGCTTTGAAGAAATGGAAAGGAGTCGCGTTGTCCCCAGATAACGAGCGGCGAGTGATAGAGCCCCCCCTACCGCCTCTACCGCCGCCGCCACATATCACTCCGAAGGAAATAGAACCCGTCCAAAAGGAGAATGTCAAGCCTGAACCGGTAAATGAGGTGACGAGCACTGAACCCACGGTTAGTTGAAGATTTTTTCCGGTTCTTTCTTACTTGCATCACAGATATGTAATATTATTTATTACTTGCATATATGTGTTGTAGTAATGCATGCACCTCGCTTGAAAACCTAGGGGTAAGAAAACTACAGTAGTCATTCTTGTAGTAGGTCGAATTAAAACTATAGAAAGCGAGAAAATAAATTTTCTTAAAATTTTATAGTAACGTATCAATAGTAATTGAAAAAAATGGAAACCATAGCTAAGATTAAATGGTGTTGTTGTAGTGTCTGCTTTCGCATGGCTCAATGGAATAAGCACATAAACCAAAAAAGCAAATTGACTACACTCTACCTAATGCTTCTTAAAACTACGAGATAGCATTGCAGAAACTGTTTACCAACTATGAGTCGAGACCTTTACTTTCTTTCTTTTCGGGTTTTTGTATTTTGGTATGAAGCTTCAGCACCGCCTATTCAGTTATATTCACGATTTTTCACGCATTATATAAAACTGCTATGTTTGATATACAATTTTATATTTTCTATTTTAACAAATCCATTTCACGCAATTTGTTTTCCAAATAATTAAAAACAGTTATAAAAAATAGTTTGACTGTGAATATAAAGGGTGTCCAGCGGAAAATTTTCAACTTGAAAATTCTTTATATTTTATTTCTCTAAAAGGCAGACAGACAGTGCGGATTTTATTTTTTAAAAATTACATCGTCCCAATGTCGGCCATCTTTATCAATACACTCTTGTAACCGGACCATGAGATTTACGAAAACACGCCGGCAAAGCGCTGAAGTAATGCCTTCAATTTCACCGCCGGATATTTTCTTGAAGGGCTTCAATAGTTCAGGGTTTGTTGCTATAGACTTTTGATTAAAGGTATCCCCACAAAATTAAATCACACGCAGTGAGATCTGGCGATTTAGGCGGCCACAGGATGTCTCCATACTTGTTGTTGTAACCTGAATACAGATGCAATTGTGCTAACAGAAACTCGTCTATCATACGGCAATACACTGCAGCAGTGACCGTCTTCCCATGGTCAAAAAAATTAGGCCCAATTACACCGCTCGCTGGCTGAAATGGCACACCAAACTGTCGTTTTCGGTGTATGCAGATGTTTTTGATGGCGTTTTTTGGGGTTTGTAGGTCTCCAGTATCGCATGTTTTGTTTAATAACATACCCATCGATATGAAAATGTGCCTGATCACTGAACAAAATGTCACCAAGCGTTAGTGGTGGCCGAAAACGTTCCAACATTGTTCGTGTAAAGGACTCTCGCAAAGGTTACTTTTGTTGAGACCGTTAACAATTGGCTGTTTGTACGGGTGAAATTTTAAATTTTGTATCAAAATAGGATGCACTGATGACTTTTTGATTCCTGTGGAGGCCGCAATCTTTCTTATCGATTTCCGTAGATTTCGAATAACTGCATTTCGAACTTGAGATACATGTTCTGGCGTTGTTGCTGACGTTGATGATCCAAGAGTAGGTTTATTGACTGTTGTCCTTTCTTGCCTGAATCTTTGCATCCATGACCAGATAAGTTGCGTGCTCGGTCCATCACTTTAACGTCGAATATCGAAGTGAGTACAAAAATCGCGACGCGCACGGAGCAGTGATTTTGCCGTACTTTAAATATTGCTCGACCGCAAACGCACGATACACCCCTGACCAGTAACTCATGACTAACAAATCTTCGAAGCACGAATGATAGCGCGTACCTCACCCCGCTAGTACTTCGATAATTGTGACTTTAAGTTGCTGCTGGACACCCTTAATTAGATATTTATTTAAATTTACATATTAAAACACAAATATTTTTTTAATAGAAATTAAATTAATAATATTGTTTTAATTGAAATACGTACTCAGTAATTATTTGACAATTTATTAAATAATTGTTGTAACAGTTACACTTAACTATAATAAAATTCTGTATTTTTCTGATAGGAGTTTATCTTGTTGATTAATTAATATTGTTCTTCAATCCTGTTAAACATTAACCTCAAAATCGATTACCTCTATTATTATTATTGATTTGTATATACATTTTAATTACCACATAACTAAACACTTCAAATCCCAAAGGGGCCGTCCATTAATCATGTGATGTTTTTACAGCATTTTTAACCTCTCCCATGGTGAAAGCTTGGTAAGACTGCTCCCCCCTCCCCCACCTACCAGCACCCAAATCACGTGACGTGTATTTTAAATTCCTACAAAAATCTTTAATTTTGACGCCGCTCTTCGGTTTAGTAATCGCACGTTTGAGGAAATAATTAATACACGTGATAAATTACTACACCTCCCCCAAACTTTTGACAAACCCCTCTTCGAGCCTCACATGATTAATGGACAGCCTCAAACGTCACCGTACCCATGCTATGTAAAAAAGAATATACCTATTCAATTTCAGATAGTGACGGTAGAATTGAACCGGGGATGGAACAGCAGGCTGGGGTTCAGCGTACAAAGTCACCCGGACTCGGGGCAAAGTTATATATCCGCCGTGTACAGCGACAGCGTGGCAGCGCGCGACGGCCGCCTGCGACGAGGCGACGTCATACTGCAGGTACCGCAAGAAAAAATGTGTTACGCTCTATTAAAAACCGAAGAACCAAAAGCTGATATAAGCCTGCGGCATATTTTTTGGTATGAACATCGAGATATGGCCCAAAGATCTAGGTCTACAAGCACTTCCATCTAAAATGACAGAGGCTCTAATATAACAAATTTTTCCCAGATATGACTGTGAAATGCACAGGCGGCTACTAACTACCGTATCTAATCCCAACAGAGGGCAAGGATGTGTTAATAGGTGACGTATTTCAAGTCACGTGACACGCTGACAAAAATCAAGACTTAATTTTAAGATAATAAGATAATCGTGGGACTTTAAGGCTTAAAATCAGAATATGTTTATAACGATGTAAGATTTAGTTTTTGGGCAATTTCTCGACTTATTTTTCACTATCGAAACTAACTCATCTGAAAACCATTGATTAAATATCTAAATAATAACATGAACATTTTAAGAATATTATGTAGTTTACAAGGAGTATTATGAATATAAGTATTTAACATATGTAATTGATATTTATTTAATTGTTTTAGGTAAACGATGAAAATGTGACGTCAATGAAAACACCAGAAGTAATAGACTTACTAAGAATACTCCGAGGCTCCATATGCATCACAGTTTTAAGACCACCTAACGCGAAATAAAACAGCAATTTAGTTATTTAATAGAATCAACAATTTATGTGGTTAATTGATATGAATATCTTATAAACTAATTCTTATTAGGAAAATTAAAAGATAATAAATTGTACTAAACTCCTGTAAATATATTAGTTTGACAAAAAAAACTATTTGCGTTAGGTCTTTCAGTTTTCCCAATAAGATTTATGAATCAAACGAAGAAAAACTTTTCAATGTTATATATATTTAGATTTTAAATGTTCCAAGATAAAATCGCATAATTGCTATCCGAATATAATCACATAATTACATTTTACGAAATCGGCACTATAAAAAAAATATTTAAGACACGCTTCCAAGCAAATAAAATATTCAACTATCGATTTCACTTAATTCTAAGTGCCACTGCAGGAAAACGATAGAATATCGCAACATAAATTGTCTTATTATAAAAAGAGGACTTAGTTTAGTACCGGGTTTAAACCATTATACGAGCAAAACAAGTCAACATATTATCACAACTTGACGTTTTCTCTTCTGTCATTGTCAATATTCTTTAAGCGGCTAATGGTTTAACATTAATCTTCGTTTTATAATAAGACTGAAACTACCCCTACATAGTACGTTGACAATTTTTGTGATGCGTATGCGCACCATAGTGTTGTATTACATAGATTGTAGTAAAGTATCGAACACAGCAAATGTCGATAAAAATCTTGTCTGTAGCTATAAGTAGTGAATTTATTAATTAATTTCTAAACTTATGATTCTCATAATAATGGATAAATGTGTGACAATAAAATGATTACAGAACTTTTTAAACTTAAAAGCTTGATGTCAATTGTTTCGTTTTATAGATATAATTATTTATATGGCATGTTAGTTTCACAAGAACTTAAATAAACAATTCAGTTCTTATTTGTTGATATGTATTTACAAAGGAACTTAGTATCAAAATTATCTAAATGTCGTTAAGAGTTCATACTTAAGTAAAAAAGTATATTATATTTAAATGTTATGCTTATTTTTTTATTACATAGAAAAGTGAGACAACGTTCATAAAGGGTTTAGCCGGATACGTATGACGAGTCGGCCCCCAAATGGGAATCGATATTGAAACTTATGTTTTAATATCGACTTGATGTTCAAACACGATTTATGTACTTTTCGCGACCGACTTCCGCTTTGACCTTGAGATAGCGAGCAAAATATCCGTATGCTTGACTATTACTGAATGTGATATATCTCTAAAGCTAATTAAGATAAAGAAGTGAAACTAACGCGAGGTGTTAGGTTACATTACAGAGTATATCACATATATTTTTTTATAATTTTTAGAATAAAAAATTACATTAAAAAAATAAAAAATAAAAAAATCATGTTTTTTTTTTCTGAGTTCTCTGTGACTTACAATCACGAAATTAATATATGTTATGTTCCTTTGTGTGCTCTATTACCCAAAAAAAAAGTTGGTGCAACACAACCAAAAAAAATTATATGTGATTTCTGTCTTATGGTATACCCCTGTATTATAAGGTTTTCACATTACATCATTGTTTTTTTTTTCGAAATTTCACATCAGCTTGTTTTAAAACATAAGTAACTAGTCTTAAGAGATGGGATAATAGTTAAAAAAGAAATGAAAAAAAAAACAGCCAGTGTTCAATACTTATTATTATTACTTTTTCGTGTCTATCAAAATACAAGAAACAAAATATTAATCATCGTCACTGTTTTAATTAATTACAATCGGAACACTTTGAATCGCAAATAACTTAGTTAGGACCTCAGCAGGACGTACGATTTTGGACAAATATCATCCATATGATAGAAAATAAATAATAGCTGCTACATGAGAACAGCATCCCACTGTAGGTTCGCCATTGGGGCAATCACAGCAATAACGAAAAATACTATTGTAGTCATTACCTTCGGAAATATAGTAAATGTAAATTCGATAGACTTTTCTATTTATATGTCTTGATTTTACTTCTGCTTTGATGATATTAGGTGCTGATTTCACATATTGTACTGAGAGATTATTTTGATCGTCCATTATTTCGGCCAAGTTAAATGCTGCACATTTAGAAGTAGAAGCTTTTTTGTTAATATATGGGATAAGTCGACACTTCTTACAAAAAATATCATTAACTATTACGATTTTTTTCAAACAGTTACTAAACACTTTAGCTTCTTCTTCATTCTTTATAATTTTTTTATAACCAGGAATCTTACACAGGTACTTGTTACAATTTTTACACTTTCTCGACATTGTTACTTAATAATGATTTGGTTCGATAGTTAATAATTTCAAAATGCTGATACAAAATACCTATGACAGAATTTGAGTCCCAAACTGCCTTCTTGTGTAATACAAATGACTGCTACTTTAGCTAAACAAACGATGCAGTAAACAGCTCGATAACAAGTTCGAACTTGTTTGTTTATACACTACAAGGCGCGAATCACATATAATTTTTTTTCGTTGTGTTGCACCAACTTTTTTTTCACGCAATTTTTATGGGTGATAGAGCACACAAAGGAGCATAACATATATTAATTTCGTGATTGTAAGTCACAGAGAACTCAGAAAAAAGAACATTTTTATTTTTATTTTTTTAATGTAATTTTTTATTCTAAAAATTATAAAAAAATATATGTGATATACTCTGTAATGTAACCTAACACCTCGCGTTAGTTTCACTTCTTTATCTTAATTAGCTTCAGAGATATATCACATTCAGTAATAGTCAAGCATACGGATATTTTGCTCTCTATCTCAAGGTCAAAGCGGAAGTCGGTCGCGAAAAGTACATAAATCGTGTTTGAACATCAAGTCTATATTAAAACATAAGTTTCAATATCGATTCCCATTTGGGGGCCGACTCGTCATACGTATCCGGCTAAACCCTTTACAAAATAAAACAAAATATTTTATAAAGTTCCTAAAATACAAAACAAAATTACCGATAAACAAATACTTTCACCAAATTTTTGTAGAAAAATAAATATTCTATTTTACTATGGAGTTACCTAATTAATGATATTTAACTTAGGTACTTATATACTATTAACGGCATTGATCTCTGTACTAATCGATATGAATTTATAAACAATTGTCTTAGTGGTATGTATGGGATTATGTGGTAAAAGAATAATATGCCCGACCAAGTACTCTCAATGAAAAATAAAATATTTTATTTTCTTGAATTACAATTATCATATATTAAAGATAATGGGGTAATAATAAAGATCAGATATATAACACTTACCTTCCAATCCGCATTGGGCCAGCGTGGAGGGTCATGGCCCATCCTCCTTAACCATCCATAAGGAAGGCCTGAGCCCCTGCAGTGGGGACGTAAAAGGGCTGATGATGATGATGATGATGATGATATAACACTCAACGAAACAACCACAATATAAATGGACTTACAGTCAGTTTAAAGCGACATTATCGATACAAATTTGACATCAATTAGTGCTTAAAGGCGTCATTAAATCTTAATGGACGTTTGTACAACTGTCCGTGAGTTTATGCCAATTTAATCTTTTGTAATTTTAACTTGAAAAAAATATTAATGTTTTAAAGTTATTGATAATAAAACAGCAACCCTCGACACGAAATGAAATTTCTTTTCTTCCTCAAATACAAACTGTTGTCGAGTATGACTAAAAAGTCTCAAAAAACGGAATGCAAGTTAACGTGTAGAATTTTATATTCCTTGTTACTTTTTTCTATTGACATCTTAAAACTCCTGCGTTTCTGTTAAAATCCAAACCCGAATCGAATTCACACAGGTGTCTGAATCACTTCAATCTTGAATTGGTAATAACGTTTTGTGGCTTTAGTGAAGTGAGTTTCGAAATGACGAAGGAATAAAGTATCTCAGATATACGTGTCTCAGATATTCTATTCCTATCAATGGATTTTGTTTTGTATTTTAATACAAAAAAAAATGGAATTTCTTCGATGAAAATTTCTGAAATTCGAGGAAATTCCAATTGGGGTTCGGATTTTTACAGAATCGCTCTGCTGGTCGCAACAGTAAGGACTGACAACCACAAGAAGTTATCCGATCTTCGTTAGTGATATTTTTTTGCCCAGCTTCCTTTTAATGCTTGAAGTTATATATAGATAATCATAAGTGTCTTAAATCAATATTAGAAGCGTTTCAGTAAAACACAATTAATTTATTACAGACTATTGAGATTTTAAAAACGATGTAAATAAAATATTTTGAAATATCAAATTGATTTAGGCTTCATTAGGGTACAAATTAGTTTTACGGCAGATCAACATCTATTTATTCAGCCTTACGCTATCATGTTCGTCCTTATTATGAGTACATTTTCATTAAAGTCGCTAAGAACCGGTGAAAAAGCAGAAAATCCATCAGTTCTTAATTCGAACTAGCCTTCCACGTAGCCAACTTAGCTAACGTATCGCTTAGCTAGCGAACAACTTAGCTGATATGAGCTATTGGTTTAGCTAGCCACTTAAGTAACACTCCGCTGTTGATTCTAATAACTCTGATAAAATGGCAGCCAAAGCGAAAAGCAATAGAAGCTTTCAAATCTAGTCGGCAATAATGAAGACCAATTTTAATTCTGCTCCATAATATTATTCTGAACTGATGTTCAACTTGATAAGTTGTAACTAAAGAAATCATGTAATATAGTTAGTGTTTTAAAGTTATATATAATTACCACAATGATTGTTGTATAGATATATTTGTAAAGTTTTAGCATTCCACAATTTAACATGTATATATATTTGTAAATGAAAATACGGTGTGAAACGTAGATGTTGCTGTTATAGCGTTATACGATTAATTACTCGGAGTAAAAGTCGGGACTTTTAAAATTATAACAGTAATTGATTTCTCCCATTTAAATTCGCAAGGGAGTTTTTTAAACATTCTTGCCTCTCGATTGGTGTAAGGCAATTTGAATCTCATAAGAGCTCTAAATATCTAGACGGCGATAGCTTTTCAAATGTAAACAGTGAAATAAAGATTTCT